GCTGTGAATTAATTGGAATGGAGTTATGATGGGTTTTTGGGGTAGTTATGTGATGTTTTTGCCTTTTATATATCTCAGGTCGGAGTACAATGCTTTCTGGCGATGTGTTCAGGCTGGAGCCACATACCTGTGTGTACAACTTTGCAAGGTTAGTACCAGGGAGGGACAGGGTGGTTTATGTAGGAGGGGTGAGTGAAGGGTGTCCCTGCTGTCTGCAAAGTGGAGGAGGAGAGACAAAGTGGTGTGTGGCTGAGATGTGTATATGGAGGAGTGATTAAATGGCCTATTATATTTTGTTTGCTAGGGAATCATTTTTGTCACAACGTTTACAACAGTGACCTTCTGATGACTGGTGAGAAAGTAATTTGATGTCTAGTGGGAAGCAGGGACACAAGTGGGATGTCTGGTTTACACTGGAGTTGTGTGATGTGTTCTCAAGATGTGCACTTAAGTGTTACGCACAGTGATTTGCTTACTCTGGACCAAATGGGTAGAATGATTACTTTGCTGAGGATGTGGTGAGAGACGTGAGTTAACATATCTATGCTGGAGTGGTGGGGAGAGAATTGCGTTGTCAGATCTTTGCTGGAGTGGTGGGGAGAGAATTGTGTTGTCAGATCTATGCTGGAGTGGTGGAGTAGAGCGTCAGATCTATGCTGGAGTGGTGGAGTAGAGCGTCAGATCTATGCTGGAGTGGTGGGGAGAGAATCGCGTTGTCAGATCTATGCTGGAGTGGTGGGGAGAGCGTCACGTTGTCAGATCTATGCTGGAGTGGTGGGGAGAGCGTCACGTTGTCAGATCTATGCTGGAGTGGTGGGGAGATCGTCACGTTGTCAGATCTATGCTGGAGTGGTGGGGAGAGCGTCACGTTGTCAGATCTATGCTGGAGTGGTGAGGAGAGTGTCACGTTGTCAGATCTATGCTGGATGGGCCAGGGTAAACATCTCATCTGCTTGAGAAATTGGGAAGCTGCTATTATTCATAGCTACACTCTTAATCTTTCAATTTACACATTTTGTTTCTATAGATGCTATTTCTTGCAACATTTTTTCCCACGTGGGAAGGAGCTGCAGGATCCTATGATTTTATTGGGGTGAGATACAAAGCATTATGTGCATTGTCCCTTTTATCCTAGGTTACACATTGTCACATTAGCCTATCGTTGGTTTCATTCATGCATCTTCTCTCTTTAACCTTTGTGTCTGTGTCCCAGGAATTCATGAAAGCTACAGTAGATCTTGCAGATTTGTTGGGACTGCATTTAGTAATGTCTCGAAATGCAGGAAAAGGAGAATACAAGATCATGGTGGCAGCGATGGGATGGGCCACAGCTGAGCTGGTTATGTCCAGGTGAGAGACACTTTTCCTAAGCACAGCTGTTAATGTAACAATAATAAAAGCTGACATGTGTAATGATGTTGGTAAAAGCTTAAAGGATCACTATAGGGTGACATGTATTCCTGACCCCATAGTGTTAAAACCACCATCTGGGACCCTCATGCCCCCTACAAATAGCAAAATCTTATTTGTATTCAAGCCTGAAGCTGTAGCTCTGCATGCTGTTTGACTCAGAATAGCAACCTGTCTGCTGACATCATCAGAAGTGGTGGCCTGATCCAATCACAGTGCTTCTCTATAGGATTGGCTGAGACTGACAAGGATGCAGATCAGGGGCAGAGCCAGCATGATTCAAACACAGCCCTGGCCAATCAGCATCTCCTCATAGAGATGAATTGAATCTCTATAAGGAAAGTTCAGTGTCTGCATGCAGAAGGAGGAGACGCTGAATGTTTGGATGTATTTTTGGCAAAATGAATTTTTATGTAAATTGTTTTTCATTTCAAAATCTGAATATTTAAAAAAAAAACATTTAAACTGATCCCATGGTTGGTTTATTTACTGTTGCAGTAATTATTGTAGATACGGAACACTGAGATTTAAAAAAAAAATGCTATCTCAGCCTGTGTTCAGAGCGTAGTATCCCTTTTCGTCATCGCTTAATTTATATCTAATTTTCTCTTATTTAATTGGCCCTGGCACATGGTTAAATGCACCAATAGTGGCTTCTTTCTCCAGCATTTGAGTGGAGAAGCACGGTGTTTCTCTGTGCATGCCTATTTCCAATCGCTTTTCTATGAGAAGCATTGGATTTGAGCAGATTTGTGGAAGACGTTGGCAGGCATGCTGACATCTTTAAAGGCGAAACAAGCAGCTTCAGTGGAGGAGGCCCAGTGTTGGAAACAAAGTGAGTAGTCTGTTAACTAAATGATTTTTGATAACCAAGTTGGGTACTCAGAAGGGAACCTATTGTCCAGAAAAACGAAACGCCATTTTCGAGACTTTAAGTTCTTTCATACAACCTAACTTGATCAGAATAGAACCTCACCAGCTCTTGGTATTAAATCGAGAGATGGTGCCATCGTATTCTAGAAAAGATAACATCTGTAAGTTGCTGTAGTGTTTATGCCACTTAGATTGTCTATTTAATCATGCCATAAAAGTGTAATATTTATTAGAAATGTGAAATAACTATCACCAACAATTTTGTGAACACTGTTTTGGTATCCTGTTTAAAGATACCAAAACAAGGGCTTTTCCATCCTCTTCCCTCCACCAGATGCCTTTACATTTTTTATTATAAATTCTCTAAAAATTACTGACATCAGCGTTTCTAAGACAACATAATACATCTTACAACCCCTGACTTTCTCTAGAAACCGCATAGTTATAAGCTAATATGTCATTCTCTGTAATGTAAAATTTGCGTCACCCGTATAGTTTAGTTTAAAGGAACACTATAGTCACAAATTACTTTTAGCTAAATAAAGCAGTTTTAGTGTATAGATCATTCCCCTGCAATTTCACTGCTCAATTCACTGTCATTTAGGAGTTAAATCACTTTGTTTCTGTTTATGCAGCCCAAGCCACACCTCCCCTGGCTATGATTGACAGAGCCTGCATGAAAAAAAACTGGTTTCACTTTCAAACAGATGTAATTTACCTTAAATAATTGTGTCTCAATCTCTAAATTGAACTTTAATCACATACAGGAGGCTCTTGCAGGGTCTAGCAAGCTATTAACATAGCAGGGGGATAAGAAAATCTTAATTAAACAGAACTTGCAATAAAGAAAGCCTAAATAGGGCTCTCTTTACAGGAAGTGTTTATGGAAGGTTGTGCAAGTCACATGCAGGGAGGTGTGACTAGGGTTCATAAACAAAGGGATTTAACTCCTAAATGGCAGACTATTGAGCAGTGAGGCTGCAGGGGCATGTTCTATACACCAAAACTGCTTCATTAAGCTAAAGTTGTTCAGGTGACTAGTGTCCCTTTAATGTTTTGTACTGTGAACTTACCACTTTTTTTCCAATTCTTCACTTTTTTATTTTTCTGTAGGTGCCTCCCCCTGTGGGTAGGTGCACGTGGGATTGAATTTGATTGGAAATACATCCAGATGAGCATTGATTCCAACATCAGTTTGGTAATTTTAGAAATGATATTTTGATGTCTGTCCCTACAGTGACCCAGTAAGTACCAGTCTGTATTTTTTATCTCCTGTTTGTATTTCCCAGGTACACTATATGGCAGTAGCTGCCCTTGTATGGATGTGGACTCGCTATGATCTCCCCACTCATTATCGGCTTCCTGTTACGGTCCTTCTAGGGCTCAGCATGTACAAAGCATTTTTAATGGAGTAAGTATCTCTTCAATTCTTTTGTTGGGAGCCCATCTACTCCATATTGCCTTGTTGCTGTCCCTGACGTATCTGCTTTGGTTCATGTGAGTTAATTACTGCACCACTGGGTATATCATCATATTTTGACCTGATAAGCGGTTTGACTGAAATAGATAATCAGCATTGCCTCTCTCACATGTACAGCTTCACATAAAGGTTGTTATTTTATTTCTCTTTATGCAGTGAGTACTGTAACTGATCAGGCTGATAGGCATGTTCTAAACGATAGAGTAAATTTGATGCCTAAATCAAGATATGGCTGTAAGATAATTAAGAATAGCAAACAGACAGAATTCACTCTGTCTTCTTACCATGACTAGTCCTCGGAAAGTAGAGCCAATAATCTTTCAGGAATTAAAATTTTCTTGTTTTCTTGCAGCTGTTTTGTGCACGTTTTCTTGCTGGGAAGCTGGACGTCTCTTCTCCTGAAAGCTGTGGTCACTGGCCTGCTCTCCTTTAGCTGTCTCACTCTCTTTGTGAGTCTAGTTCACAGTAACTGAAGTAGCAATGTCTCAAGTCACACGTGACATGTAGATTTGGTTCAATCGATTCCAATAGGAAGGCAATTTAAGGCTGACGGACTGTGTGTCAATTTTGTTTTAAGTTAATTTCATACAAACTTTATATAATAATAATAATAAGTGGACCATTACTCGTGGATCCTGTGATTGTATAATAAAAACCCGTTGGATATGAGTGGAAATCCTTTATTACTAATTCTGTTTGTTTTTGTAAGTATTTCGTAAAACTGCTGATTACTTTTAGCATGAATTTAAGTGCTAAAATATCATCCTCTTAGAGGATCTTCCCCTGGGGGAAAAACAAGACCCCTTCTCATTGGGTTTAATATCAGTAATGTGGTACTTTGAGTTTCCTACAGCTGGGGTCTAAGCCACAGACTCTAACTGATTAACGTGGGTGGAATCCTTGATGCTAGTTAAAGAGAATATTTTTGAGATTTATGCGAAACTAATCTGAGAACCACTGAATAGGTCAATAAATGTTCCCTAACTAGAAGATAGGCAATAAATTTATACACACATGGATACATTACAATCTATTGTTTGATATTTATCCACATGTTAATGGCCGCAGGTTAGTAGTTATTATCAATGTGAAAGTGATGAAAATCGAAATCTTATGATACTTTTTAACAACACTTTGTAGTGATTGGAATCCATGAAAAGTGACCCTATATCTTACGTTAAACACTTAAGAATAAGAGATGGATGCATTCAACACTTGAACTTAAATAGCCTGACATATTTGTGAGTGAAGAAAGTTATAGAAATTGTTCTGGTATTAACCATTTTGATTAGTGCATTCAAACTGTTCTAAGAGTGACAGGAAAGAGGAGAGGAGGAAAATCATGAAACCTCAAGTCCTCACGCCGTACTCATCCAGTTTCCTGCTCACTTACATCTTCTGCAGTTTAGGATTGATGTCTAGCTAAGGCATCCAGGTGGTCGCCCACGGTAATGTATGTTAATCAAGCCAGCTGTAGTGGTTATGATGCCTGGAGTACCCTGACCCAGTTCTCTGGTAATGTTGAGCATTTCCTACCTATGCTTTAGGCTTCTTCAGAAGCCGGATACTGATCCATTCGCTATTCATTAACTGAAAAATCAGCTGATTGCTCTCAACCAATCGGTGGCACACATTAAATGACATTACCCAGCCTGGACTGGCTAATGACTCCGCAGGAGATGAAGTTAGAACTCTGGCAACAAAAAGGAACACTGCACACAAACACTCCAGGCACCATGACTACTTCACATCACTGACTAAGGGATGTGGTTATCTCCTCCATTTCATGTGTCTTCCACCCCATTAATAGTCTCCACAGGTTCACAGATCTATCTGTGTTAAGGTGTTTACAGACTTTTTGCACTTAGAGAGCAAGAGATGCATGGATTGTAGCAGAGTTGATGCTGGTGGATACCTACACCCTATTCCAAATTATTATGCAAATTCTATTTAAGTGTCACAAAGGTTAAATATTTTGTTTTTCAGTTTAACTCATGGTTGGCATTGTGTCTCAGGGCTCTTTTGATCACTGAAAACAATCTCTGACACCTGTGATAATTAGATTGTCAGGTGAGCCCAATTTAAGGAAAAACTTCTAAAGGAGGGTGTTCCACATTATTAAGCAGAGCACCATTTTCATGCAATATGGGGACGAAAAAGGATCTCTCTGCTGCCGAAAAGAGTGAAATAGTTCAATGCCTTGGACGAGGTATGAAACCATTAGATATTTCATGAAAACTTAAGCGTGATCATCGCACTATTAAGAGATTTGTGGCTGATTCAGAGCACAGATGGGTTCATGCAGATAAAGGCACATTGAGGAAGAGTTCTGCCAGATCCATGCATCAGATCAAGAGAGCAGCTGCTAAAATACCATTACATAGCAGCAAACAGATATTTGAAGCTGCTGGTGCCTCTGGAGTCCCACGGACATCAAGGTGTAGAGTCCTCCAGAGTCTTGCAACTGTGCATAAACCTATTCGGCCACCACTAACCAATGCTCACAAGCAGAAATGGCTGCGTTGGGCAGAAAAATATGTGAAGCCTAATTTTCAAACAGTCCTGTTCACTGATTAGTGCCGTGTAACCCTGGAGGGTCCAGATGGATGGAGTAGTGAATGGTTGGTGGACGGCCACCCTGTTCCAACAAGACTGCGACGTCAGCAAGGCGGTGGTGGAGTCATGTTTTGGGCCAGAATCATGGGAAGAGAGCTGGTCAGCCCCTTTAGGGTCCCCTAAGGTGACCTATCTGCAAAGTATGTGGAGTTTCTGACTGACCACTTTCTCCCCTGCTACAGAAGGAAGAACTATGCTTTCCATAATAAAATCATCTTCATGCATAACAATGCACCATCTCATGCTGCAAAGAATACATCTGTATCAATGGCTGCTATGGGGATAAAAAGAGAGAAAGTCATGGTGTGGCCTCTATCCTCCCCTGACCTCTGATATGTAAAACTAAGACAACTTTGGTGGGAAAGAATCATATTGTTCTACCAATGTTCTGCAGATGTGACTAATGAGCCTCAACATACAGGATCAATATCCCCTCCTCCCCAGGAATTTCTTATTGGGGCAGTTTAACAAATGATCAGCCATTATTTAAATTTAGAGGACAAATAAGCACTATAATTACTATATAACGAAATCAATAAGACGACACGTGTGTTTGTAGAAATATTCCTCAATGCCATGTTGAACATATTTAGACTTGTGCGATTGGTCTTGATACTAACTGTTTGGAAAATATAGAAGTGTCCAAATTGCCGTAGCAGGAACAGAAAATGAGTAGATCTGTAACTAATCGATTTAGTTTTGGATCCATTATTTTTCATAGCAAATTAGGGAGTTTAGCAGTTTAGTTTGTGATTGCCATCGTTACTGCTTTCTAATTTCCGTAAAGATGGCAATCACAAACTAGGATAGCAAATGAGGGAATTACCTACGCAACACAACTGGAGATCAAAAGGAAAGTTTTTCTTAATTTTGATCTTTCAGCCATTTAGCAGATAAATACCTAAATTGTTAGCTTGTAACGGTGTCACCTTCATTCATTCCCAGTAGGTAATACTAGGCCTATCCTTATTGGCATCACCAATGAAAGTGAATGGCTGTACCTATGATGTCATTGAAAAGCCCATAAAGGCAACAGAGTATTTTTTTTATTTTTTTTGGTTTGCTTTTTTGGCCTATCAAGTCATGAAATTAACAAATAAATCTTGTGTTTTAAGTTGGTATGTTTTATGTCTTTGTACATTATTAACCCATATCAGCTGTGCTTGTGGAATCAAGACGGGATTTTCTGTGTATCCTAGTTTGTTTTTTATGACAATTTCAGTCAAAAGCGAGAGTTAACATTATTGTAATTTATATAAAGTGTAATAGTTCTATGACTGGATTTAATATCTAACATTTACTCATTAATGTGACTTCTGCAGTGAGCTAGTGCTGTATCCTGTTGATTTCATTTATATTTTTAGATATTCTATTCGGAGA